CATTAAAATGTCTTTAAGATAGATAGATAGAAACACTCCTTCGTGGAACAACTTTATGACGATAAACAACATCCGGCAGGAAGTCCTCTGATTGGGTGGTTTTGAGGAGCATGGAGCCATATCGAAACGGCTGTTGTTGCCAGAACCACTCTGACCCATCCTGGTAGCACATGTTAGATTCCCAGCTATGGACAAACAGCGAAACACAAACTGGGGTCAAAACACTATAAATCTATTTGGGTCCTGTCACTCGATCTAACCAACACCTTTATCCACTGTACCGTATGTCTGGCTAAGGAAGTTGGGAACTTGGGGAGATGAATTAGCAGGAGATAACTGACATCCATTGGACGTAACACGTGGAAATAGAACAGTTTACCTCAGCGATCGAAATGAAGGGTCCAGTTCGACATTCCAACCACCTCAAGAAGACCGGAGACTACAACTGCCGAAACGTTGTGATAAATATGGCAACAAAGATGAGGACAATAGTTCGAATGATGTAAATATAGAAATATATTTACATCAAATATAGACATATATTTACATATATATAAATATATATATGTAAACGTAGAGACTTTGTAATCGCAAACACAGCTATAGTAACGCTTTCGAATAGTATTCTCACTAATAGTACTTGTTCGATTATACACGCTCCAACAGTAATCCATATAGTTATCCGAATAGAGAAGTAGTATAGTGAATAGAGTAGAGAATAGCGGTGCGTATATTAATAGAGGTTAGAATAGTAATGACGATCCGAACAGAAATAGAGGATAGAATAGAAATGGTGATCCATATAGTAATAGAGGATAGAATAGAAATGGCGATCCGTATAGTAATAGAGGATAGAATAGAAATAGAGATCCGTATATTAATAGAGGATAGAATAGAAATAGCGATCAGTAGAGTAATAGACGATAGAATAGAAATGGTGATCCGTATAGTAATAGAGGATAGAATAGAAATGAAGATCCGAATAGTAATAAAGGATAGAATAGAAATAGAGATCAGAATAGTAATAGAGGATAGAATAGAAATGGCGATCCGAACAGAAATAGAGGATAGAATAGAAATGGTGATCCGTATAGTAATAGAGGATAGAATAGAAATAGCGATCCGTATATTAATAGAGGATAGACTAGAATTGCAGGTCATCTAAGCGTCACGCGACTTCCTGTATGCGCGTTTCCTCTATGGCCACGTGGTCGACTTAATTCAATAATGGGATCGCCTGTGTTTAATGACATTAAATTGAATAGTTGGAGATTATAGCTCTCAGGGAAACAGTAATTGGGAAGGGTGAGAGGTGCGAGGTATGAAGCTACTGGAGTAGAAGAGACGGCTACATTTAAAAGTTTCTACAGTGTAAGGGTGGGAGCGGGATGCCAGCCTCGTAGGGCGCTTGAATTTATGGAGTCTGGAAACCAGTGAAAGCAGTTCATTGGAGCAATTACCATGAAAGTATTTGTAGAAAAGACAGAGAGAATCGACGGCGCGTCTGTGAGAGAGTGACTGTAGGCGAGATGCCAGATCAGAGCCAATTATATTACATATCCGTCTCTGGATCTTGTCAATAACTCCGAGGTAAACAGAGATGCCAGATCAGTACCTATCACATAGCATATCTGTTATGGTAACCAATCTACATTAGAATGAACTCTTCTTCCCTCATAAATACTAACCTACGAGACTTCCTAAAGAGGCAGTCGGGACGCAGTGTAACGTGAGAGTTCGGACGGACACATCTATCTGCTGACTAATAACACTCTTATTGTGCAGAATACGTTCTGTTATTTCAGTAGAATTGCTCAACCTACCTTCTTCCTCCGTGTCTTTCTTTGTGGTCCATAAAAGACCGCAACAATATCCGTCTATGTATTTTGTCTAAGACCTCGAGCGGGATCACCAGACCCTATATGGCCGCAGTATTCCATGTAAGGACGAATGTTTGATTTGTAAATTTGAAGGATAAGCTGAGACGAGAAAAATCTTCTAGCACGATACATAAAAACCAAATTTCCTTGCAGTAGATGAATCTATGTATTCAATGTAGTTTAGAAAGATGAAATTACCAGCATATTAGATATTTACGCTTAAATTTCGTTTCTATATATCATTTTTCACAATATTTAACGAAGCGGCGTAAAGGAATAATGCTGTTTCAAAACTGATACAGCCACTTTTACAATCTCTTATACTACAAGAACAGTGCTGTAGACATACAGTAAGATTAACAGAAAATACCATTAAAAGACTAGCTAAAAATCATCTAAGTAAAAACAACAAAAAGATACGTGTCCTCAATAAACAAGTTTTCCCCGCAGTGACTTACAATCCAACGGTAATGTGCAACATTGTGGAACGCTATTGTCTTTCAATGAAGCAAACATTGTTTCAATAGGATCGGTTACTTGTGTCGTGTGTAATAGAATGTGCTTTCTTGGACGAATGAAAAAAAAGAAAGAAAGAAAGGGGAATAAACGCGGGCGAAATGTGATATTAATGTGATATGAAAGTATCAATAATGCAGAATCATCGGCCCGAGTTTTGCGACACAATTTCCCCAAAAGAGCTGAGTGTTCACTTTGCAAAATTCCATTCTTCCCATATGTTCTTTCCATCGTTAGATTATTTATTTATTACTTACTTTCATTTTCTTTCCTTTCTTATTTCAGTTTTTACTTTGCCAAGGAAGCGAATAGATCCATCTTGTTACGTACCTAATTCGACCTAACCGCACAAAAGTGTATATATATATATATATATATATATATATATATATATGTGAGTGTATATACATATATATATATATATGTATATATATATATATATATATATGTGTGTGTGTGTGTGTATATATATATATATATATATATATATATATATATATATATATAACATTAGATATTTAGTAGGGTTTATTCCAAAGAGGATACAAAGCAAATAAAATAGTGAAAGGGAGTCCTTATTTCAAGTCATCTGACGTCCATCTCTTTAGGCCCCAAAATTGATTGTTATAAAATTTTAGGCTATGAAGAGATCGGCGCCGATCCCTTGAAATAAAATTAACGCCTTTGGATTTCTAGGGACTCCATTTTTCATTATATATCTATATATCTATATCTATACATCTATATATATATATATATATATATATATATATATATATATATATATATATATATATGTATAGTAAAAAGAAAGAACTGAACGGTGTCCTTATTGACATTTTTCTTTTTTACAGAACAGTGCTAACTGTAAATTTACAGAGGATAAATATTATAAATTAACTGATTTAAAAATATGGTCCCTTGGCTATGCAGGAATTACCAATTTCAGAAACCGAAGCTAAAAACTTCAAATTTTATTAGATAATTACAATTAAAAGCATTAGTTCTGTTTTATCTTCAAGCGAATTTTAGAATAACTTTAAATTTACTGAGTTTTAAACGCACAAACAATTTATAATTTTTTGTTTCCAAGGATACAGAGAAATCCAATCATTTAGAAAGGGGCGGTAACGTGTTCATTTTTATTAACTATTATTGTATCAATTATGAGTTACGTCCGAAAAAGTGCCTAAGTCTAGGGAAGGTTAGTGGTGTGTTTTTCGACGAAATTTAACATCCATTCAACGCATGTCGCCTGTTTTATTCTTTTATCAACGACACAATTTTTGCGACATTTTTTTCCGTTAAATTCGTACTTGCATACTAAAAGATTCTTTCTAAAAGGGGTCTTTGGGTTAGAATTCGTTATATTGAACTACAATATATATATATATATATATATATATATATATATATATATATATATATATAGAGAGAGAGAGAGAGAGAGATAGGAGAGAAGTTTTTATATTGGTAAAAGTCATATATATATATATATATATATATATATATATATATATATATATATAGACTCTCCCGTCACAAAGGATCGTCTGGTTGGCAAGGTTGAATTTACTGCTTATAAACTTCAATCTTCCGTGAATCTCGTACATTCATAACTGCTCATGGCGTATCAAATTTAAACAAATGACGTCATATATTAAGAAATGGAGAACGTCCGACAATTTATTTATTAATGACATTTTTATGTTTAACGTTCTTTTTATAGATACAATTATGAAAATTTCTCGGACATTCAGGCCGGTAAATGTTATTTAATACTGTTTATTATAAACAGAGCATTTACTTAAATACTTGTATCTTGCCAACCGAACGCTCCTTTGTGGCCGATCGGTCAAGGCACGTCAGCTTAAATGACGGTTCCGTATAGGATGCAGGTTCGAATACTGTCAAAGGACGAATATTTTCTATGAAAATTTCTCGGATATTCAGGCCGGTAAATGTTACTTAATACTGTTTATTATAAACAGAGCATTTACTTAAATACTTGTATCTATAAAAAGAACGTTAAACATAAAAATGTCTTTTAATAATAAATATATATATATATATATATATATATATATATATATATATATATATATATATATATATATATTTTATATATATATATATGATTAAGAGAAACACATAATATGACAATTCCAACGTTCGTAACATTTAATTTAAAAGCTTTAATACAAAGTAGGGGAATATTATTTATTTTAGGTAATAAAAGTAATCGCCATAAGAGGTAATAAAAAATAATCAAATACCAAAGTTAAAGTTTGAAATTTGATTAAGCTTTATCTTATATTTTAGATGTACTATGTTGCGCCATATATGGCTTATCTTTCTATTTGTAAAATTAATTCAGATTTAATATAAGTTTGTATTAAGTAAAATCTTCTCCAGATATATTGGTATTTGGTTGATATTTGTGATAGATAGATAGATAGATATGAAGTGATGGATATATATATATATATATATATATATATATATATATATATATATATAGAGAGAGAGAGAGAGAGAGAGAGATTTAGATAGATAGATAGATAGATAGATATGAAGATGGGAGATAGATAGATAGATAGATACATAGATAGATAGATAGATATCCCTTCTTTGATAGATAGATAGATAGATAGATAGATAGATAGATAGATATGAGGTTTCACCGATAGATAGAGATAGATGATAGATAGATAGATAGATAGATAGATAGATAGTGATATCCACTTTTTGAAGTAAGTTTAATTTAGATCTAATATAATATTCTGTTAAGTAAAATCTTGTCCAGATATATTGGTATTTGATTGGTATTTTTGAAAGTTTACATTTATTGGTTATTGTTAATAACATCGTATATGAAGAATCTTTATTCTTTCATTTACCAAATAATTCTATACGTTTAATATGATCAGTTTCTACTCTAGTTCAAACAAACATGCACATAAGCACACAAACTCTCTCTCTCACACACACACAGACACAGACACACACACACACAGACAGACAGACAGACAGACACACACACACATATGTATATATATATATATATATATATATATATATAGGATGCATATCTTCAAGCATGTTTGGCAGTCCAAGAAAAACATTTCTGTCACAAACACACAAAAAAGTGAATGTCTTATATCGAGAATATTTAACATCGAAAAACATGAGAAAAAAATTGAATTATTTTTAATAATATGTGGAAATCTCCACCATTTGCCTGATGACGGTCGCGAGACCGGAAACACGTGTAGCAAAATTATGGAAAATAAAGCATAATACATTAAAAAAAAAAATCTACATCACAATAAAAAACGTTTGCGGTTTCTCTTCTTTTTAATATGCACACATTTCTCTCGTTGGAACTACTATAACCTCTTCCTTTTATATATACATATATATATATATATATATATATATATATATATATATATAGATAATTGATAATATTAGTGGAAAATATACATACATATGCAAAATATATATAAAAATTCCCCATACATGTATATTTTCAGAAAAAAAAATATCCAAGAGGAAGGATCCAGGTAGAACTCAATGTCTAGGACAGATTATGATATAATAAAAATGCTTAAACACTAATATTAGTGTTTAAGACTTTTTTATTATATATATATATATATATATATATATATATATATATATATATATATATTTTTCTATGTGTTTGTGTATAAGTTTGACGTAGTCTAGAAAGTGATCAGATCATTATTTTCTCTTCAGTTTTTTCATTTTATTTGTTGCTTCTTCTAAAAGTCTCCAAGAGATGTTGTTTCTCTTCTTTGGTGAAAGGTAGTTTACGTTTCTGTAGCACTTGTTGCCGAGTCTCGAAGAAGCATCATCCAGTTGACGACCTATAGTCTTCAATTTGCTCGAAGCATCCTTTTTTAGGTCTGAGAAAGAATTTATATAGGACTGACAGTTTAGATATTTATAAACGATCTTTATAAAAGTATCGCTCTGAGGAGATTATTTCAGAACTCGCATTTTAAGGTTAGCATTATCATTTACCAATTGATTGAGTTACAGTGCAACTGCATTTTCTGCCCATAAAACTTCACAAAATTCTTAGAATTTGCAACACCATTATCCTGTAATAAGCAAGACTTTTACATTAAACGCGTGCCAACATGTACCTAGTTTGGGTTGAGGATTATAAATAGTATTAGAGAATATCAATAATACAATGTGGATTCTTTCTCCATGATATTTTATCGTTTTATATATGAAAAATATTCTAAGAATTATGTATAATATGAACGCGAATGAGCACTGATTAAAAATGATCTCCTGACAAAAACCAAAAAACAATGTGTTATAAATAATTAAAATATTCGCAATGTGTTTTAAATTAAATTATGACAGTAATTATTTGAACCGTGGTATATATATATATATATATATATATATATATATATATATATATATATATATATATATATATATATATGTATTTCAGCATATTTAACCATTAATGATATTTGAGTCTTTTCATATCTATCTGTCTCTCTCTCTCTCTATCTATATATATTCGAGGGCTGATCAATTTTTAACCCGCAGAATACATGTGAAACATTAATATTACATAACGAGATTTTTCTACTTTTAAAAATGTAACCATTCATGTTCTATCTATCTATCTATCTATCTATTCACTTCGTTCTGATCTATCTATCTATGTCATGAATACATCTATCTATCTAAATAGGCTAGTTATCTATATAACGATCAATTTATCTATATAAAGTTTGTTCATATCGTTCGCATAAGCGTGTATATATATATATATATATATATATATATAATATATATATATATATTTGAATATATATATATATGCAAGAATGCTTTATATATATATATATATATATATATATATATATATATATATATATGCACACTCATTTCATACATTCCAATTGTCCCACAGACACACACATATATGCGTCATGGTGCACAGTGTACGCTGTGTATTTAACCCATAGGCAGATCAATAAGTCCTCAAAATATATGTGAACGTATTGTCTATTTTTTCTAATTTATAATAAATCTTAACATGATACAGGAATTCATCTGTTAAAGTTGTATCAATCTATGTGTTATATATCTATCTGTCTGTCTCTCTGTATGTATGTCTCTATCTCTGTCTTCTCTCTCGATATATATATATATATATATATATATATATATATATATATATATATATATATATATATATATTTTATTAATTTAAATACACACACATATATGTATATATGAATACACACACACACATATATGCATATACAGGCATACATAGGTACACACACATACACATCCACTAGCATATATATACATGCATGCATACATATATATATATATATTTTGTTTCTGTACATATAGGAAAGAAAGAATGAGAAAAAGAATGAAAGAAATAATTCTTTGATACCGAAGAAGATATTGAAAAAAAAATGATTGAGAAAAGAAAGAAAGAAAGAAAGAAAGATAGAAAGAAAGAAAAAATGTAGGAAGTACACTGACATATATAGAGGGATAAATAGAAATAACACATTAGGAAGATAAATAAATAAATAAATAAATAAATAAATAAAGAAAGAAATAAAGAAAGAAAGAAAGAAAGAAAGAAAAATGTAGGAATACACTGACAGATATAGAGGGATAAATAGAAATAACACATTAGGAAAAGAAAGAAAGAAATATAGAAAGAAAGAAAAATAAACATAGAAACAAAGAAAGAATGAAAGAAAGAAATACAAAAAAATCAACCGAAATGTAGACATGACATAAAAGAAAGTAAATAAATGAATATATAAATGATTTTTACAAAAAAATGTAAGAACAAAAAAAAGGATGAAGAAAGTAAGTGGATAACTACAGAATAAAAGAAAATGAAATCTATAAAAGAAAGAAGAATAAAATTCGATTAAATGAAGGAATGAAATCAGATAAAAAGAAGAAAACATGTAAAATAAAAATAATTGAAATGGTTACAAAAAAATAATGATTTCATTTTTAAGATATGATGGAACTAAAGAAAGAAAAGAAATGGAGAGAGAATGAAAGCGAGTGATAGAATGAATGAATGAATAAATGAATGAAATAAAAAGAACGAAAAGGACAAAAAAGAATGTAAATGCTAAGAAAGAATTTGAAATAAAGAAAGAAAGAACGAAAGAAAGACAGAAGGAACAATAAAAATAATAATGAAAGAAAGGGGGAAGGAATGTAAAGGCAAATAAATGAACAACGATAATAAAACGTAAAAGAAAAGAAAGAAAGAAAGAAGTAAGAAAGAAAAAAAGAATGAATGAATGAATGAAAGAAGGAATGAAAAGAAAGAAAGAATGAAAGAATGAATGAAAAGAAAGAAACAATAGATTAAAAGAAAGAAAGAAAGAAAGAAAGAAAGAAGTAAGAAAGAAAAAAATGAATGAATGTATGAAAGAAGGAATGAAAAGAAAGAAACAATAGATTAAAAGAAAGAAAGAAAGAAAGAATGAATGAATAAATGAAAAGAAAGAAAGAATGAATGAATGAATGAAAAGAAAGAAACAAACAATTAAAAAGAAAAATGAAAGAAAGAAAGAAGTAAGAAAGAAAAAAATGAATGAATGAATGAAAGAAGGAATGAAAAGAAAGAAACAATAGATTAAAAGAAAGAAAGAAAGAAAGAAGTAAGAAAGAAAAAAATGAATGAATGAATGAAAGAAGGAATGAAAAGAAAGAAAGAATGGATGAAAAGAAAGAAAGAAAGAAAGAATGAATGAATAAATGAAAAGAAAGAAAGACTGAATGAATGAATGAAAAGAAAGAAACAATAGATTAAAAGAAAGAAAGAAAGAAAGAAATGAAGAAAGAAAAAAAAATGAATGAATGAATGAAAAAGGAATGAAAAGAAAGAAAGAATGGTTGAAAAGAAAGAAAGAAAGAAAGAATGAATGAATAAATGAAAAGAAAGAAAAAAGAATGAATGAATGAAAATAAAGAAACAATAGATTAAAAGAAAGAAAGAAAGAAGTAAGAAAGAAAAAAAGAATGAATGAATGAAAGAAGGAATGAAAAGAAAGAAACAATAGATTAAAAGAAAGAAAGAAGTAAGAAAGAAAAAATGAATGAATGAATGAAAAAAGGAATGAAAAGAAAGAAACAATAGATTAAAAGAAAGAAAGAAAGAAGTAAGAAAGAAAAAATGAATGAATGAATGAAAGAAGGAATGAAAAGAAAGAAAGAATGGATGAAAAGAAAGAAAGAAAGAATGAATGAATAAATGAAAAGAAAGAAAGAATGAATGAAAAGAAAGAAACAATAGATTAAAAGAAAGAAAGAAAGAAAGAAGTAAGAAAGAAAAAAATGAATGAATGTATGAAAGAAGGAATGAAAAGAAAGAAACAATAGATTAAAAGAAAGAAAGAAAGAAAGAATGAATGAATAAATGAAAAGAAAGAAAGAATGAATGAATGAATGAAAAGAAAGAAAGAAAGAAAGAAGTAAGAAAGAAAAAAGAATGAATGAATGAATGAAAGAAGGAATGAAAAGAAAGAAAGAATGGATGAAAAGAAAGAAAGAAAGAATGAATGAATAAATGAAAAGAAAGAAAGAATGAATGAATGAATGAAAAGAAAGAAACAATAGATTAAAAGAAAGAAAGAAGAAAGAAGTAAGAAAGAAAAAATGAATGAATGAATGAAAGAAGGAATGAAAAGAAAGAAAGAAAGAATGAATGAATAAATGAAAAGAAAGAAAGAATGAATGAATGAATGAAAAGAAAGAAACAATAGATTAAAAGAAAGAAAGAAAGAAAGAAAGAAGTAAGAAAGAAAAAAGAATGAATGAATGAATGAAAGAAGGAATGAAAAGAAAGAAAGAATGGATGAAAAGAAAGAAAGAAAGAAAGAATGAATGAATAAATGAAAAGAAAGAAAAAAGAATGAATGAATGAAAATAAAGAAACAATAGATTAAAAGAAAGAAAGAAAGAAAGAAAGAAGTAAGAAAGAAAAAAATGAATGAATAAATGAAAGAAGGAATGAAAAGAAAGAAACAATAGATTAAAAGAAAGAAAGAAAGAAAGAAGTAAGAAAGAAAAAATGAATGAATGAATGAAAGAAGGAATGAAAAGAAAGAAAGAATGGATGAAAAGAAAGAAAGAAAGAAAGAATGAATGAATAAATGAAAAGAAAGAAAGAATGAATGAATGAATGAAAAGAAAGAAACAATAGATTAAAAGAAAGAAAGAAAGAAAGAAAGCAAGAAAGAAGTAAGAAAGAAAAAAAGAATGAATGAATGAATGAAAGAAGGAATGAAAAGAAAGAAAAAATGGATGAAAAGAAAGAAAGAAAGAAAGAATGGATAAATGAAAAGAAAGAAAGAATGAATGAATGAATGAAAAGAAAGAAACAATAGATTAAAAGAAAGAAAGAACGAAAGAAAGAAAGAAGGAGTGAAAGAAAGAATGAAAGTAAAAATGTAACAGTCATGAAATAAATAAAATAAAAATTGAAAGCAAAGTAACAAAGAAAGAACGAAAGAAAGAAAGAAAGAACGATTGAAAGAAAGAAAGAAGGAAAGTAAAAATGTCAAAGAGATGAAAGAAATAGAGGAAAATTAAAAGAAAAGAAAGAAAGAACAAATAAAAAAAAGAAAGAAAGAAAGCAAAACAGAAAGAAAGACAGAAAGATGGAACGATTGAAAGAAAGAATGAAAGTAAGAATGCAAAAGAGAAGTAATAAAGATAGGAAAAACTAAAAGAAAACGAAGAAAGAAGGAACGAAAGAAAGAAAGAAGGAAGGTAAGAAAGGAGGAACGAATGGAAGATAGAATGAGTGTTGAAATTTAGAAGACAAGAAACGAATACAGGAAAGAAGAAAAAGAAAAGTTAGAAAGAAATACAAGAAAGAAAGAAAGAAAGAAAGAAAGAACATACAAACAAAAGAAAAATGAAAGTCAAGATATAAATGGGAAGAAAAAGGGAAAAAAAGAAGGCAGTCATTTATTTTATTTAGTCAACTTCATTTGGACAATCATGAATATCACTCGAGCCAGCATGCTTTTGTAGCTCATCTAGATAATAATAATAATATATATATATATATATATATATATATATATATATATATATATAGAGAGAGAGAGAGAGAGACAGACAGACAGACAGACAGACAGATAAAGAGAGAGAGAGAAAGCTAGCTAGTTATGTAGATGGATAGATTCACCTTGCCGTGCGTCTCGAAAAGGACCTCCAATCGATTGTGAACTGGGGCATGATTTGGCTGGTCAACTTCAACGCTTCGAAGACAAAACTGCTCTCTATTAATCACCACAGAGAACCTTCCCTTCCTCCATTAGAATGTCTGACGCTCAACTTCTCGAAAGGCAACTCTCTGCGGCTTCTCGGTCTCACGTTGACTGCTGACCTGAGATGGAATAAATACGTCGAGTCAATTGCCTCGTCCACTGCGAGTAAGTTGGCTCCCTGAGCCGCGCTAGGAAGTTTTTCTCCCTGAGTCGATCCTCCAGATATACAAATCCACAATTCGCCCTTGCATGGAGTATTGCTGCCATATATGGTCTGGCGCCCTTCTGTTTGCCCTCGGGGTTCTTGGTAGGCTCCAGAAGCGGATATGCAATATGGTTGGCCCTGCCCTGGCGTCTCGTCTACATTCACATTCTCACAGACGCACCGTCGCCTCCCTCTGTCTGTTCTACAAATACTCATGGAAATTGCTCCGAGGAACTGCATTCGCTGGTTCCCAAACCTCACGAGTTCAAGCGCCCTACGAGGCTGGCATCCCGTCAATCACAGCTCCAGTTCACTGTCCCTCATCCTTTCTTCTAAATCTCCTAAATTCTGTAGCCCTAGTGGCTTCCCGCCTATAAACAACTATGAAATGTGGTAAAAAAAGAAGATAGAAAGAAAATAATGAAATAAGGAAGCCAAATGAATAAAAATTTAATCAAAAAAAGGAAAATATAAACAAAAAGCAAAGAAAAAAAGAAAATGCATTCAAAATCAAAAAAAGAAAAAAAGAATAAAAGAAATTCGAAAGAAAAATCCGAAAAAAAGAAGAAAAAAGAAAAAAGTAATGAACAAACACGAATAAAAGAAAGAAAGAAAGAAAGACAGACAGAAACAGAAAGAAAGAAAGATGAAAGAATAAAAAAGATTCACTGCATTTAAAAACGAACGAATAAAAAAAGAAAGAAAAGAAAGAAAATATAGGCAAGCATTCAATCAGAAGTAAAGAACGTCGAAAATAAAAAAGAAAGAAAAGACAAAACAGAAAAAAAGAAAAGAAAAGAAAGAAAGAAAGATGGAATAAAAGAAAGAATCAAAAGATTCACTGCATTCAAAAGTAAAGAAAAGACATGACATAAAGATAGGAAAAAAAGAATTAAATATAAAAAACAGAAAGAAGAAAGAATCAGAAAAAGAACGAACGAGAAAAGAAAAAGACGGTATGGGAAATATTAAATAAATTCATGAATTTCATCAGAAGTAAAAACGAACGAACAATAAAAGAAAGAAAGATAAAGAAAAGAAAAGAAAGAAAGAATAGGTAAAGGAAAGAAAGAGGAAGCCATGAATAAAGATTCACTGCATTCAATCAGAAGTAAAGAACGAACGAACAATTTAAAATTTAAAAGACTAAAACTAGTTTAGAAAAGAAAAAAAAAAAACAGAAAGAAAGACAGAAAGATGGAATAAAAGAAAGAATCAATGTAAAAATAATAAAAGACATGACATAAAGATAGGAAAAAGAATTGTAAGAAAGAAGAAAGAATGAAAGAAAGATAAAAAGACGGTATGGGACAATATTAAAAAATAAATGAATGAATTTATTTTATTTGGTCGATCTATTTATCAATCTAAGATGTAAAAAGAAAAATAAGATGTAAAAGAAAAGTAAGAAAGAAAGAAGGAACGAAATAAAGAAGCAAAGAAAGAAAGAAAGAAAGAATGAAAG